TCCTCTAGCCACTGCAGGGATGGACTGAGACAGTGGGTCAGGCACCCACTGGCAGCTCTGTTTTGGCTCAGGGGAGGGCCAGGCTCACCCTTTGCTGCCCCGTCCCAGCACACACCAGCCTCTGGGTCGCACAGGCTGCTGCCCTAACCCCAAAATGCCTGGTGGGGTGGGCTCTGTGCCAGGTTTGGAGACTGGAGGTGGTGGGTGAACGATATAAATGTCCCCACGTAGCTGTAGGAGTGTCTGTGCTTGTAGGGCTGTGCTTTGGGGCTTCCAGAGGCTTCTGTGCCTGACGGGCAGCCAGTGTTGGCTGGAGGCATAGGTTTAGCAGATGTTAGATCCAACACAGTCACTGTGACTGGTTGGGCCAAGAGCACACCCAGGGATTGGATTTGAGTTTCAGTTGTGTTTGTACTGAGGCAAGGGGGAGGGCAGAGCTAGGTCTGTCTCCTGCTTCACTGGTCTGCACAGCATTTGAGCATTTCTCCTCTGTCCTGCTAGAGGAGACATGCCTTTGGCCTGAGAAAACATGATGGGGTTTGGGTTTGCCCATTTCCTAAGAAGAAGGGAAAAAAACATTTTTAACATTAGCAGTTTCTAGAATGTGCAATTTAAGGGGAGATGAGAACATGAGGAAGGTAATGCCAAAAGCCAGCAGTGCGGGTGGGGCAGAGGGAGCTCTTCGCCTGCCCTCCCTGGGGCCCAGTGATGGCACTGAAGGTGCCTCAAACTAGGCAGAGATTTTAGGCCAGCTTTGACTGGCCTCTCCAAGTCTCTGTGACTAGTGTCACTGACTGGGCATCCTTTCTGCCTTGTCCTCCCCTTCTTGTAAGGTAAAATCTTACCTGATCTTGTAGGGTGTCCGAAATGACCGCCAGAATGCTGGACATTGGCTGAAGGGCAGACAATGCCACTAGACTGATCAGAACCCTGGAGAGGATAAATGCAAGTCATGGATTTGTACAGGTTTATTTACTTCTAGACGTATGACAAGTTCACATGACTTTACTGCTCTGAAGAGCAGTAACTTTTTTTTGAATTTTTTTTTAACTAGAATTGCCAATACAAATTTAACCTCCAGTTGCAGAAATCCCCACAACCAGTCCTGCAGAAACTTTACATCCAAAGCAAAATTAAGAGGAGGGAGGGGACATCAAACCATTGTACCCTCTTCAAAACGTGGTTCAGTTGGAGTTCTAACATATGGATGCTGAAGTCAGTCTAACATATGGATGCAGAATGAGACCTGAAAGGAAAGTCCCTGTCACTTCCATTTCTGTGCAGTTAGTGTTTACTATCCACCTTTTTACCATCAAAAGCTTCTTATGGGCCCCTTCACACCTTAAATGTAAAGCCAGGAATTTACTGATTGTCCGCTTAATCTTTTAACAATTTAATAACCCAAACTAGTGGTTCTGTTACAAGAATAAAACCTGATAGTCCCAATTAATACAGCAAAACCTCAAAGAAACTGTTAAACCAGTTACGAAGGAGAAGCCCTTCCTGATGTCTTCCCTCCAAGGCTGGGTTGAGCTCCCACTTCCACATCCCTCCAGGCCCTGAGGGTGACCCCTTCTATCCTCAGGGAGCCGAGCTGGGATGAGACCAGCAGGCGAGGGCAGTGCCAGGGGCTCAGCCCCTCTTTGCCAGGAGGGACATGATGGTGGTGGTGATGCCTCCTCCCTCCTTGACCCTGGGCCCCCTTGGATTTATTTTTCTACCTTTTCACACAGTCCGTCTGCGCTCCTGCTTTTTGTTGGTTCCTGGTTATTCAGTTTTTCTCTTCTCTTTGTTGCCCTGAAGTGGTTTCCCCAAGCTGCTGCCATTAAATGACCTGGGGCTGCATTTGACCATGGCATCTTCCCCAGGGAGCCCACTGGCCGAGTCCCCCAGGATATCAACTCGATATCACTCTAAACTAAAGCAAACCTAAAGCAAACCATAGTTACTGATGACTAAACAACCACTGATGTGGCTCAACAAGCTGAAATCAGCCCAGGTCCAGACAAGCCCCAAACCTGTACTCAGGTTGGCACAGAGCCTGCGGCCTTTCAGTGCTTATAAATGACATTTCCTGGTCTATGACCTGCTTGAAAATGCTGTGACACACCTCCCTAGCCCCTGGCTGGTGGCTGCTTGGGTTGGCTAGATGATGGGAGCCCTGGGGAACAGGTCTGTCTGGGGAGAAACATCTGCTCTGATGCTATCGAGATAGTGATTTCTGGTGTGAAAAGGCCTCATGCTTGACAGGGGTAGTGCTCTAGGAAAAAATATTAACAAAAACAACGTCCCTGGGAAGGGGAGAACCAGGAATAGTGGATTTCCAAGTGTCTCTGTCTTTCAGCCTGCTCTTTGTGCCATATGTATGTTTTAACTAAGGGCAAGGGTCTCAAAAGGCTTTGAGAGCACAGCTACTTCTCATTTACAAATGACAAGCTGCCTGTTGTTTTCTGGTGGGCTTGGTAGGGGCTAAGGTATAGCAGAATATCTGAAGTCCATCTTTGCTTTAAACAGATGCATTTCTACCTGCAGAAGTAAGAATTATTTCACTTATCGGCATAGCTGGACAATTATCTATTTCTTTCTGTTACCAAGGTACTTGTAACTCTCTTGCACTGTTTATCTAAAGTTGAAATATGTTCTTTGAATCCTTGTATAAATAAAAAGGCTGGAGGCAAACCTAGATAACAGAGCAGTTATTTCTTCTCCATTTAAGCTGAGTTTGGCATTTTCTGTCTTTTTCCCTCATTAAAGCACAGGTAAAGGGCAGGTCAGGAGTCCGAGCAATGAAATGGTGTTTCAGCCACAAGTTTCTAATGGGCTGATCCCAGTGTTGGCAGCAGAGGTTTGCCTGCATCCAACCCCATATCTTCCAGAGGAGCAGCTGCTGGGTTGGATGTATAGATGTGTGTTTGTGGGAACAAGGTGAGCCTGGCTTGAGTCATCAAAGCAAGGATGCTAAATGTTCTCTTTCTCATGTAGAAGCACAGAAAGAAGTGGTATAACAGTATAAGGAATCAGAAATGCCCTTGATATTGATCATTACAAAGTATTGTGGTAATTACAGCCATGGCCTTACACCAGTGCAGCTGTTGGCAGGGCTCACAGCAAGCAAAGTGATGTGAATGTTTGATCTCAAGCATGTGCTTGATACTGAACTGGTGCATCAGAAAGGTTTGTGCTTCAGCTCTGTCCTTTCCAGTAGTGGTTAAATACAGCTGTCAAGGTAACGCATCAGAAGCTGCTCGTGAAGTGTCTAAGACTTGATAACTGGAAACTACTAGAAGTGTATCTTTCTTCCTGGAAGCAAATACCACCTAAATTTAATAAACTGAGTGATACCCTTGAGCGAGTAGGTATTTCTTTAGGTTCCTGTCCTGCAGTTACAGCTATTTGCACCACATGCACACATTCATATAAATACAGACAAGTGCAGAAATGTAGGTCTTCTCCTTGGAGAAGTTGTTTGCACATCAGTTGCCTCCTTTGCCTCCTCTGTGTCTAATGATGATCTTAAATAATATCCACTTATAGCTGTGTCTGTATTAAAGTTGTCTGAAAACATTGCTGCAATTTGCGATGCCACTGTGTTTGCAGTGATGCCGCAGTGTGTTTGCAGATTCACTGCTAAGAGCTTGCGGGAGGTGTAGGATGTGATACAACCTCAGCTCCCACTTCCCTGCAGCCACACAGCCCTGCTTGCCTGGGAAGGAAAGGCTTCAGAGGCTCTAACAACAGCTTGGTACCTACAGGGAGCTCACCAAGACGATGGGAGCAGACACTTTACAGGTGCATGGAAAAGGATGAGACACAGTCAGTATAACTGGGGCTGTTTGCACCAAACCCCAGCTGGCAGTGGCACAAAGACCAGAAGTCCCCCAGCAAAATTTGGACTGAGGCATCAGACCTTTTCTAGTCAGGGGATGAGGCTTTTACCCTGCAGTTTGGCCATCATCTTGCAGAGCTGGCAACTGTCTTCACTGCCAGAAGGTGGCATTTGCATTTACCTTATAAATCACTCTCCATGTAAGGATAAGTGCCCTGTCCCTATTTCCTGCTCTGCACAGGGATGTGATACAGGGCAGGCTGGTGGGAAGGGACAACCTTTCTGGCATGAATGACCATTCTTAAGTCAACTGCAGGCAGGTAGCAAGTAAATATCTGTAGCCTCAGAGTGAGGAAGCACAGGTGTGGCCACAGTGACATGGTGCTTATGTGACAGAAATGCTGCCCTGGGATGGGGGCACGCAGGGAAGACCTGCACACCAGTGCAGGAACTCATAAACCAGTAAGTCATCAGATTTGTCCTATTAGTCTGTGCTCTGCTGCTGTGATAGTCCAGGTTCATTTTTGTGCCAGCAACAAATATTGGTCACATGCTCCTGTTTCACCAGAAAGCAGAGGGGTGAAGCAGCTCAGCCACATGTTCAATGCTCCGGGAAGTGGATGGTACCAGCGATCAGCCCTGTGGCGCTGGCTGATGTGGCATTCACCTGGCCGGGCCATTGGCCCCATCCCCACCCGTCCTGCACAGCTCTAACCCATGTGTACACTCCAGTGTAAGATACTCTTGCTCTGGCACCACACCAGCAATTCTACAGAAGTCCTGAGAAATTAGTGCTATGCTATCCAGCCAGCCTAGTAAATAATTTTCTGGGCACTCAAAAGATGCTTTTGTCACATGTGAGGGGCCCCAAGATGCTCTGGAGGAGCTCACATCGATATTGCATCCCTGCACCAACAGCACTGACTGCAGCAGCCTTCCCGTGCAGAACACAGGGGGGAAGCAGCTGCTGTAGGGGTAGGGACTGTAAAATCCAACTAGTTCTCAAGTGAGCTGTGGGCTCTGAAAGCGTTTTAGCTTTCCAAACGCAGCTCTCGAGATGCAGCCGGCACTAGGACCTGCCTGGAGCCTCTACGCCCCAGCCTGTACAGAACGGATAGTACAGCCCGGCCCAGCCGCGCTGCCGCCGAGGAGCCCCCGCACCCCGACCCCCGGCGCGGAGGGGCCGGGACCCTGGGCTGCCGATGCTCCAGCTCTGCAAGGTCACGGCCTCCCTGTTCCTCGGCACGGCCAGGGCAGCCTGCGACGAGGAGCTGCTGTCGCGGGAGGGGGTCACCTTCTGCATCAATGTCACCAGGCAGCAGCCGTTCCCCGGCCTCCCGCGGGTGCGCGGAATTCGCGTGCCCGTGTTCGACGACCCGGCCGAGGACCTGTACCGGTACTTCGAGCCGTGCGGCGCCGCTATCGAGGAGGCCGTGCGGGGCGGGGGGAAGTGCCTGGTGTACTGCAAGAACGGCCGCAGCCGGTCGGCTGCCATTTGCACGGCTTATCTGATGAGGCACCGGCGGCTCCCGCTCAAGGACGCGTTTGAGGTAACGTGCCTATGCCCAGATTTATATTTAGACTCCTTCTGGGGAAGAAATGCAAGGCTCGTTCTGAGTAATGATCAATTATTTTGGGCTCTCACCTGCCCATTAGCAGTTATACAGATATTCAACATTTTGAATAAATGTTCCCCTCCAAGTTTTTTCACCTCCAGCTTGGACAAATGACCTTTCAGTGTGAGGTTTCTGGGACAAAATAATTACAAATGCAAATAGGCTTTGAGCACCAGTAGCAAACATGCAAAGCTGGTTGTTTAGTGACCATTTTTCTCTGTCAGTTGCATAGTCACAGTAAGTGACAATAAAGACAGAGACAAATGAGTGGCTGCAGGAGTTGTTTTGCAGGATTTGCTCCTTCACCTGTGTGACAGCTCCACACAGCAAAGAAACATCCTGTTAAGCCTGCTCAATGGCCAGGGACTAGCTGTGAGCAGTAGCATCTCAGCTTTCCTGGGAAGCCCATCCAATACAATCTACTTGGACTCTATGGGCCTTTAGTCTTCACCCGTTTGGCAGGTATATGACTGAAGTCTTTAGATAACCATTTTGCTCACATTAGACTGCGTGCAGAGAGTGACCAGTTTCATGCTATCTTAAACATGAGCAGTGTCAGCACACTTTGTAAGAGACATTTGCATTTCCAGCAAATTCAACAGCTCCTTCTCATGTCTCAGCCATGAATCCCTTCTGTAACAGGGACCACATGCCAAGTCATAGCAAGCACAGAGTGAGGTCAGCTCACCAAAATAGCTGTTCGTTATTCTGTGGTCAAATCAAAACCAAAGTAAATCTAAGGTCTAAGGAAAAAAATCCATTTACAGGACACTCACAAATGCAGGACACTCACAAATGCAGGACACCTTGCTTGTACCACTCTCTCCTGTTCTCTAGGCTGTGAAGACTGCCAGACCTGTAGCAGAACCCAACGCAGGATTTTGGTCTCAGCTGCAGAGATATGAAGAAGATTTGCAGATACTAAAGCAGCCAGGTCCACTGAGCAAAGGACTTAAAACTAGCAATGTGTGAAGATGCTTTAAACAGAGTGAAGTTTCTACAGATCTAAAAAAAAAAAAAAAAAGAAAAAGGAAAAAAAATCCCTTCCTGAATCACTTCTACATAAAATGCCTGATGGTTCATTAAACAAAGCAGAGGAAGGCATGGAATCTTCAGCAGTTATTTTCCCCTGAATGACACTGAATATGATAACGATGTACTGAATGAGTGAAGGAGTTACCACACAGCAGTTTTACTCTTGGTTGTTAATTAAATTTCCCAGTGATGCCACTGGAAGACCTGATGCCAGACTAAGGAAGTTCTGAATTCCTGTCTCACCTGTTGGATATTAAGTCGTAATTCAAGTTCATGAGCTGACACAACTTTTGGTTGGAAACCAACACTGGTTGATGCTTAGTCTGCCATTTTCCTTCCGTTCAACTAGACCAAAGCACCTTCATAAAATTACCTAAAAATCCAGAGGACAGAATGTACAGATGATGGCAAGGAGTTCAGCTCCCAGCATGCAAGTTAAGTGCCTTTTTAGCTTTTGAAATTATTCTCTAAAACACCAAAGGAATGATTTAAAAAACAACAGTTGATAGTGGGGGGAAGAAGATGACACTGGCAATTTAGAAGTAATCCTCACTCTTTTTAGCTTTACTTACTAAGTCTAACAAGATCTGCCAGTGCTCAACACATGCCTTAATGTGCCAGTTTAGAAGTCAGTTGTACCTGCATCCAAGCAACATGGCTAAATCTGCTAAGACTGCTTGCTGGTTGCTCTCTGAAATTATCTATTGAGACATCAAGAAAACTGCATGAAACTTCTAAATCAGACTATTATATGTTTATCGTAAGACATTAGAACTAAACACCAAGGTATTTTGTCAAACTGTGTGAATACATCTGTAATTTAAAATGGACAAGTTATGAAACCTATGAACCTGAAGGGTGAAATTCCATTTCATGTTGCTTAAAGCATAAATATAAAATAAAATTAGCTTATCACCATCTGTCTGAGTGCTCACACAAGGCAAACTATGCTCCCAGCAGTGGAGTAGTTTAAGGCAGAAATTCTAATGATGGAACAATGTCAGAGAATAAAGCCTCTGGGGAATTACACGAATTAGACAACTCAGATGCAGTAGAAGTTCCCAAAATTAAAGATTGCTCAAAGTTAAAATAGGATTATTTTAAAAGCTGAAAACATAGAAATAAAAATTAAAAATTCAGGCTATTGTTTTCTTAGTTACCACAAGGCGTTTTCACACCAGATGCTTTCTCCACTCCCAGCTGTGTTTGGTTCATTCCATATCATTTATTTTTGGTATCTGCATTACAACCATGAAATTTGTTGCACATCTGCAGATTTGAAGGTGAGTGGTTGCTAGAGAATTTATTGTAGCTTTTATAAACCTTGACTATCATACATAATAAGAATTGCAGTAATACATCAGATCCTTATTAATTACCAAGATACCACTCATCAAAAAATCTGTTCCAGTCAATCCATGGAATAAAGTTTATTTCCTGTCAAAAAGCTAAAGCTGCTAAACAAAAGTAGGAAGCTAAACATTAATGAAAACACAATACATTTTTAACTGTGAGGCACATGAACTCGCAGTCAAACACAGCTATCAGTTCCACATGTTTGAGTCAGCTGAAATGGAAACCGTTGCTCTCAAGTGTCAGCACATACTGCGCTCTGGTTAAATTTTACCAGCCTTGTCAGCACGAAGAAAACCTTCTTGTGGCAGGATTTCACTTCACATCTTCTGTAGAAAGCTATTTACATCTGAAAGCCATTCCTATTTACACTGGAAAGCACTCCTCCTCCTGTACTGCTCCGAATTAAGGGATAAGATTGCAACTTGGAACCGGAACCCTGGAAGTAGTTCACTTCTTTATTTGAGTTCATAACCTACTAATGTTACAGGCGATGCAAAATGGAAGTTTAGACATACTCCTTGTTGCTTATGATCGTCTCAGTGTTCCTGGAATACATGTGTGGCTGAGGAGCTGCCTGGCCTGCTGAATATCCGTATTTGTTGGTTCTGTAAAGTAAGGAAAAAAAAGATACAAATAAGAAGTATTAGACACATGTTCATAGTTTAGATACTTAGGAAGTTACTCATTTAGGTCTATATCAAACCCATCGATAGCACACTCTTCACAAAGGTGCAGAAACTAGCTGTCTATTGTTCTCATCGGTCTGGTAGCTAAGTGGAAAGACAAGGGCTCCCTGACAGGTAGCACAGCCATCTCTCTCATAACCAAAACCACACTCTGGATTCCTAATTCACCTGTGGTCTTCCTCAAGGCATTTCAGTCAAGGCCTTAAAGCAGAAGAGAACCTAGTGCAAGCTCCAGGTTTTAATACAGGAATCAAGATGATGAGAAAAAAACAAGTATCTTCAGCCAATCCCTTCAGCTGTGATTTGTCATGTTGAACTTCTATTTCATATGTCTGTTCTACCTGATTTTCAGGACATTTCAGGACATTCGGTACTTTGTATTAAAATACGGTGAACAAGATCTAAAGTCCAATGTGGCTGATGAAATATTACCATAAAACTGAAATGGTTTCAGATTAGGCAGTGGAGTATCAGAGGAGCACTCACTTACTATGTGTTTTGACATAATCTTCAAAGATTAAATATAGCAGCAGTGAGCATGCTTCCTCCTTGCATGTTATCAGCCTCTCAAGCTTAGCCAGTACAACCTCCAAGCCATTTGAGTTCTTCTGAGTAGGCATGAACCTCTGCTATTTTTGCAGTCTCATCCCTCTTCTTCAGAAAGGGACCTTCTGTTTGTGTCAATAATTTAAGATTGAAAAAAAGTCCAGGGAAGATTAAATATTGAGGCCAGAAGTCTCAGCTTTTCTGATTTGATGTGCAACAAGACATTTCCATAAAGAACAAGAAAAAAAATCATGTTTCTAATGATCAGTTGGATGTGCTTTGGGAAGGAAATGCCATTACACTTTCTGCAAATTAAATGATGTTTGAATATTTTAATCACAGTGAGTATTGTAGAGAAACTGGATTAAAATACACTATATTCTTTGAAATACTTTTGCCAATAGACAGTTCACTATTTCACTGCACATTTTCACCACATAGAACTTAGAAATATAAGCAGTACCCAGAAATACCAAACACAAGTTATAGGGACTACTGATGGTGAAGTATCAACAAGTACACTGTGCAAGTGTTTGGTGTAGCATCCCCTGCCATCACAAGTCTGTGACAGCCCATAGTACTGCTGTCCTGTATATGGCTACATATTTATACAAGAGGGTGAGAGAGAGAGAGGGAGAAAAGTGCACAGGTAGAAAGGGATATGTAATTTACAGCTACTGTTTCGACTGACAAACCCAAGATTACCTGTAATTCTGTTTTTCCTTCCCTTTGCATGAACAGGTCAGTAAGATCCCACCAAGGATATAAAGAATAGAACCAGTCCAGCCTAAGTATAGAGCTTCTCCCAGTTCATACCTGAAACATGAAAGATTTTATGGAAACAGCTTATAACAGGATCACAAAGCCATTATTTTAGGCTGAGCCATAACGTTCACAAATCATGCAAAGAAACAAATTCTAGTCTGCATAGAAATCAGCCAACTGAAAGGTACATCAGCAGAGAACAGAGAACAGACCTGGCTTTGTGTCTGCTCAGTAAAACTCTTACTTGTATATTTAAGTGCTCTGCTAAACTAGTGATAGTACAGATAGTGTGAAGCAACATTAAGTAGCAATAAATAATTGTGTATATTTAACAAATTGTTGACAATAAATAATAATAACATACCTTCTGTGCCATCCACAACACTTATTTTTCCCTTTTATTGGCTGTGCCACTGAAGCAATTTTGTGAAACGGAATGAATCAGACCTTACTGTCTGTCCTGAGAAAAGGCTAACCATAGGAATCAGTTTTCTATGGGCATGATGCGAGGTGACCTACAAGTAGCTGTTTGTATAGGGCTAGTTTTCAAACTTAGATATCCTAAAGAATATTCGGCACCCTCTGTGGTTGTATGGCTGAAATCCATGTATGAGTGTCCCAGGGTGAAAAAGAATAGTTCCCCATTTTGCTGTGCAAAACTATACCTTTCAGGAAACCCCCCAGTCCAGTCCAAAAAATTAATTAATAATGAATTTATCCCAAAGACTAGACACAACTGAGTCTGGAAAAGTCTAGCAGGAGTTTCACAAAAAGAGGAAAACAAGTTTTGTATTTGAAGACTATAGGCACAATACACCTGTACCTCTGTAGTCTGAGGTACCCACTATAAGGGCAAAATAAGTGTTATGAACTGTATTGAAAGTACACTGCAACCAGAGATTTGTGGGTTTTTCCACTTGTAAACACAAAATCATCATTTAAAAGTGTTGAAGCTTCTGACTCCAGAATTCATTGCTAACAGGAGGGCTTCAGAGGTTCACACACGTTCCCTGCTCTCCATGTTCTCATCGCACGTTGGAGCTGCAAGGTCTCCACTGGTTTAGGTGTTTTCCAAACACACAGTGGGGAGATAGTCATTATCTCAAAAAAACAGCAGTGCAAGCTGCTGAAGGAATACAGGAACAGCCAGGGAGCGTTGCCCAGTGTCTGAAATAGTCTCTGCTCACCAGTAAACTACAGACAGGAATGCTGTAGATGCCATCCCCAAGGAAAGTATATGGGAGGGATCTGCAGGAGAACTTAGGTTGCCTTCACAACTGTATGAGAAACTCCCCTAAGAATTAGCAGAGGTTAACTTCACTAGTTTGCTAGTGAAGCAAAAATGCTATCTGCAAAAAAAAAATGCTATCTGAAAAACTGGATTTCCCAGTCTCTTAAGAGTGAAGATCAATACTGGCCTACAATTGAATTTAACTGTCTCTCAGAGTCCATGTCTGGCTTTACCAATTACCAAAGTTAATTCACCAAGAACCGCTCAGAGAATCAATAGCTTAAACATGAAGTTTGGATATTAAAAAAAAAGATTTCTTCAGCTACTGAATGCAAACAATCTGGTAACTGATTAACAGCCATTGATGTTGAAGCCCCAAAGCTATAGCAGATAACTATAAAACTCACTAACTATCCCACTAACTGAAATTCCTTATCAACATTTTTTTTCAGTTCCCTAATGTATTTATTACCCTTCATATAGTTCTCTGCAGAGGATATAAAACAACAAGTAAGTGCACAAGTGCAATTTCTTTGTAAGTGCTTCATTGAAAACACCGGGAAAACTGACAAACAACTAAAGCAATTGCTTAAAGTACTTTGATTCATCACAAAGCACTTCACCTCTGACTTTTCTGAACTGATTCCCGGGTGGAAAATTACAAAACACTTCAAATATGATCCTAGCAACTAGAGATTTATAGTTTACTGATCTATGAATTATATACTAGACAGAGGTACTAACGAATTACAGAGGTCTCATGTTCCACAGTATGTTTCCATCTCCTTTTCCCCTTCTCTGAAGGAGAGGCCTGGTGACCTCTACCCTTGTTCCTTTACAAGGGCACCTTGATAAAGTGCCGTAAGCTGCCATTTGGTTTTGACAACCATTGCTTTTACATCAGACAAGAGTAAAGGCTTTTATACCTTGAAACTTGTTTGTGTGCAACTGTACTAGCTGATAGTCCCCCAAATTTTGCCTCATTTTATTCATAAGGCAAACAAATGTTGAGACATTAATACATAGACAAGCAGTACATTTCTCTGCAGGTCACCAGTAGACAGCTCAAGCTGCTTTCTGGACAATTTTCCCATGCTTGTATATGTGAGGCAATTTATCCTAGCCATATCTAGAATTTTGTACCTCTTTTGGTCTAAATGCTGAAGAAAATTAGGACTTTTACCTTTTTTTCTTCATCTTGAGATGTGCACTTAATTGAGTCTCAAAAGAAAATGTAAACATACTACAAAACCCGCATGGATGTGGGGTTGATATTCCTCACATGTTTACTAACTCTTCCAGAAGACAACTCTCCTCTCTCCCCTCCAACATCT